AAACAGTCCAAACACCCTCGGCGGTATTATTTGTATATTATAGATTAAAGAAAGTATTATAATATGTCAGACAAAGTCCAAGTGAGGTTTATTTATGTATATCCAATTACTTCAATGCTTCATAATTAGTAACATCTAGGTTACAGAATGTTTTGGGATTGATAATGAACTCTCTTCTTTATTGACAGTGCAGTTGAAGTTGCAAAAGCCATCCTATATTGAAAGAGTAAAGAAGATTTATCATTTTCGTGCGCTCATTACTGAAACGTGTTTCGAGTCGATTCTCGGACGAAAATCAGAGTTTCGTGCATTTTACGATGAGGTCTCTCTCTTCGCCTCCCGTCTTTCACTTCGAAGTCACGCTTTGAGCGATGGCTCAACGACTGCTAGTCGCAATAAAATGTATGTGAGATCATGTCCGTTCTGTGACGAGCTGCCAGAGGCGATAAAGAACTAGCTTGTCACGGGCGAAATCTCAGCCAAACAAAGAAGTGCGTTTCTGGGGTGAAATACATGATTACAAGTCAGTTAAAATAATCACGAGGAGTTACTTTAAAAAATACTTCAGAATCAGATACCTAAAAAAGGACACTGCTAATCGTGGGTGTGAGGTTTCCTCTGGAAAAAAGAGAGCTAAATTTGTATTTTTATTTCTAACTGATCTTAATTCTAAGCATGGGATTTTAGGTTATCTGTAATCAGCGAAGCCACACTTATCACGTGACTCAAAGTTGAAAGTGTATACTACAACCAAAACAGAACGACTACTTTGATACAAAATAATCTTTGGTAATGATACCAATTACTTTTCCTCCTGGATTCATGTGTAATTATAATGCTTGAATCGTGCAGAAAGACTAATTCATTACAGAGTCATGAGGATTTTAAGAATTCGAATACATATATTTGGATAGGGGGATTTTTATTCAAAATGGATTAGGAGAGTTAGAAAGAAAAATAAAAGAATCATGTGTCAAGACCGTGCAAGAATGCGCATCTAAGTTAACATTTAAATTGGCGCCATGTTTCTCCATCCCCACCGTACTCCAGTAGCTGGTCACCATGAGTACATCCAAAAAAAGTACCACAAACAAGTGGGAAATTAATGAACTAATTGTCCTAAAGTGCAACGCTATCAAGTCGGGTCCGTGGCCAACTGCGCTTCGTTTCACCAACCCACAAGATTTGGGGAGATATCTATTAAAATAGGAAGTCCATTAGTGAAAGGATAATGATTAAAACCCTAATCATGGTGAAAAAGCTCCAAGTTGCAAGGCCATGTATATGATCAAACCGTTTAAGTTTAAGTGCTCTTTGGTTACTTCAGTAATCAAGACGACATTGGTTTAGAGGTGAAATGAATGCCGCTACAATCTGTGCCTTGCTCTTCAGACTCGAGGTAGGCTTTATGTCTAAATGTTACTTTACATGGAGGCCTGACTCCATCGCCCAGTCTACCGTGTTCTTTAATGATTACAATTGAAATGAAATGCATGTGAATTGTTTCATCTAATTGAGGTCGTGTCACGAATCAACACGATATGACCAATCGGGTATAGGAGGGGAGAAGAGTTGGGCCAAAATCAGAAAGTTTTCCTGATGTTCATAATACATTGTTGCGGTATCGAAAAAGATGTTTGTTAACATACACACGTCTTTGAGTTTTCCATAGATAAATAAATCATCTTAATAATGATATACCAACCTTATGTGGCGCATTTCACAAATATGTCCCTGTGCAGAGAGAAAGAAAGAAAAAGAGCAGATTTTTCGGAAAAGTGAGATAGCCCAGCCTACTTCCTTAAGTCATCGGTTAACATTGGAAATTATTTATGAAAAGAAACTTTTAAGAGTTACTTGCCCAGTATAGATACACAAAATGACTCCGAATCAATTCATGAATATATAGATGTATTTGCTATCAAGAGAACATGAATAGGCTGCTTCGGGATTTATTCATGACTTAAACTATTCTACAATCAAATTTGTATTACATGCACCATGTGTACCGGTACTGTTAAATTCATCTTAAAGAATTATCAAACGAGACTTAGTGTTCTTGATAATAATGCACCTCTAGTGTGTATCAGTATATGGGAAAGAGTGTGTTGTCATGATAAACGTGGTGCTTTATCCAATTCCTGGATACATGAACCTGGAAAGGGACCATGAAATATAAACAGGTTTAGGTTAAATCTTACGTGAGCTTTCAGTAAATAAACCAATTTAAGTGTGGAACCAGGAGATAGACAGCTGATTTAAAGCAACTGTAAAATTTCCTCTCACACAGTCTATGATTCGCCCTTGCTGTATTTTATTGAGCAATATAAACAGACAATTATTATTGCATGTCACTCTAACCAATCACTTGTTTCAACAACTGTCAAATGGCTTAATTTCTGGCATCAAAATTCGGTAAGCCTTACTTGTTGGGAAACGCTCGCCGACCACTGGTCGTCGTCTAACCATGGACGGTCTAACCCCCAAAGGGACTCATTTGTGCGCATGCACGGTATGCTTTGCGGGCATAAGGTTTCGCCCTTTTTCTAGATAAAGGCCGGATTAAAAGCAGTTCGTATGTATTGCAGTTATCCAGAAGTGCTTATCAATGGGTTCTGGTGGCCTACGGCTTGTCAGGGCCACTTTCTACAAATTATTCTTTCTTTGGCGGTCGAATACTTTCATTTTCATGGATTGATTGTTATTTCACCTCGTTTGGAAGAATCAAGTTGGAGTTTTTTTCTTCAAATGAATTGTCAACAGCTTAAAGTTTCCGTTTTTACAGATATATATCATGAAAAATTAGTTCCTATCCGATATCTTTTTAGGGTACGTTGTAGTGTTTGTAATTGTAAATTGACCGGAAAGGTCTTAGTGTGTCCTATGCCTTTGAATAACGTATTATATCTTACCCAATCTGCCGGAAGTAATGCACAGAGCAGTATTCTTCATCATTTTTGTTCACATTGATTGTAAACTATTGACACTTTAATTTGTGTTTCAACAGAACATACCCAATCCAAAAAAATAAACACGGTATATGACGTGATATTCCTGTCTCAGATTAAAATTCCTTTGACGCATGTTTACAAAAACATAGTTTAGAGAACTTAAACTCTCAGACAAGATAAATATTGAATAACAGATCAGTGACAGAAGCCTTTGTTCACTGATTCATTGTTAAATTTGAAGATATTCTCTCGTTGTTGTGTTTTTGGGGTGATTTTGTAAGGTCCCTTTGTACTCTGCAGCAAATGTTATCATTATTATTATTTGTTAATATTATTATTGGCTTCTAACCTATCTTCTATCTCTGATGCAAGTGGATTTTTTTTCTCGAGCTCATTCATCTCTAAGTTTCAGATATTAATAATAATAATATTGGATTTTTGTTTAGCGGTCAGATCTGTCAAACTTGACACTCCTGGCGCTCCCAATTATCACCTTGGCTTTAGCATGGCTGCCATTACGGCGCTCTAGCAGTTCAAGGAATTATTTCCTGCCACGTACCCAATTACATCACCTGGGTTGTATATCCTTTAAAATTGAGATCGTTAATTAATAAAATACCTTTTGGCGGCCAATATTTTAGTTGAAATATTCATGGTGAACTGTAAAATCTGCGCCCTGTTGCCATAAAGCTCCCCTCACCTGCCCTAGAGTACTTTGCAGGCATTAACAATAGACACTTCCAACACCATACGTATCAATCTGTGTTAACGACGTACCCTGCCACCCTGCAAAGGGGGCCGCCATAAATGCGAAATTAGTTTTAGAGGATGACGACAGGGGGATGAATGGTGTCATAGAGGAAATAACAAATCAATAAAGTCAAGAAAAGAGATCATGATTTGGTTTTTCGAAAAATATAGAAATGTATTAGCACCTGCAGAAATGCAGAAATGATAAATGCCAAGATGTACATGAAAGTATTTCCTCGTACTTGTGAATTATTCTACCAGGAGGGGGAGGAGGGGAGGGGATGGAGTGGCTATAAATATGACAAAGCTTTCGGGTGAATTTCATTTAAAAGTATGAAAGGTAATTTATAATTGTTTTTGAAAGCTTAGCTACTAGAAAAAGGTCGTGTAAGATCACTTCTTGATATTTTCCGTGTGATCAAGAAGGAGAGAGAGAGAGAGAGAGAGAGAGGAAAAAAAAGAGTGGGAAGTAAGACAGAACGAAAATACATGGAAAAGGGTTATCGCACTTTGAAGAGACATATTTACTCAGTTCTGTTAACCTGTCCCTATAGGCTCAAGAATATACGTCATATAAAGAGTGTTGAATTATCGAGAGAAGGGTATTGCGTCATGGTATAGCCAAACGCACAATCAATACTTTATGGTGATTGATGGTATTGGAATAGATATTGCTTTTGTACCATCTTTGCAAGCGCACAGAACGGTTTCGTCACCAACACATTTCTTTTGAATAATATACAATGAAACTTAAGAAATTCATGACATTGATATAAAACAATAAATCTATTTCCCACATTTCGCAGCTGAACTCTAACATTATATCTGACACTTTTTCATTTGCCCCCACAATCTTGTAGACACATATATATATATATATATATATATATATATATATATATCCTAATTCTAAGACTTTCCATATTTAAACTAATGACTTCTATCGTAGCTGGTAAAATATTAAATGATATGACGTAAAGGAAGGGAATAGTAATAGTCATGACCCAATCCAACCCGAACCTTGATATTATCATGCAAATATTGAATTGTGCGCTCTCGGAGAGGTGATGAAATAATAACTCAGATTTAATCCCATTTTTTTTACATTTTAAATGACTGCTACTTACTTAAAGAACCATAAACATTTGTCAATTTTTGTCTGTAATCAATTTGTTATCACTAATTACATTTCAATATGTTTTGTCATCATGTCTTTGTTCGAAATTTTCATTCGCATAATACTCAAAAGTCATAGGATGGACATTAATGGATGTTTTCTCTTTCTATTTCATTTAACAGTGGGTAAAAGGACACAAACAGAATCAGCTGGAGAAGAAGTCTTTGATTTTAATGTGCCAGATGACTCGCAAAAGGTGAGTAGGGATTAAAAACACTTTCTATCAGCTTTGTAATAACCATACCATAACGCTCGATCTATTTAATCCCCATCTTGCTAAACAATTTGTATTTACACTGTTTATTCTACAGATGATAAACAAAATAGCTGTCTAAGCGAAAATTAATATATCATGTCAATTTTTTTCAAAGGTGGTGGCAACACATTTAAAGAAATGGAAATACTAAAAGTAAGCTATACGTTTCCTTGTAGCCATCACTGGGTTGGTAAGACCTATTTGCAGGTTCATGAATCACATTTCTGTATCTGACACGATAGTTTACCATAGATTTATAAAAATGTCACTTGACCCTGTTATATTGTGTGTGGTTAAATTACTGTTTAACACCTTTCTGGTATAACCCTGGGCTCTGAGAACGAATAGATGACAGTTGCGAAACAAATAGGAAGAAAAACATAAGAGAATCAACTTCATTATTGCATGACATTTGGCAAAAATATCTCATATGACTGAAACACGATAAGGTGATAAAAATGCTGCTTGTATGTTTATTTGATCGAGATATATTTCATGTTGGTGTCTGCTTTGCCGAGAGCTTGAAGAGGTCCTTATCGACTTGGTAAATGCAATCATGCTTGTGTGTGAATGGATGAATAGAGTACGTGAACTGAAATGAATAATTTGCTTCTACCCAGGGGTGGCGATACCGGGGGAAAGGGGGGGGACACGTCCCCCTCAATGTTTTAGGGGGGATTGTCCCCCCGGAAAATTTGAAAAAGTGCCCCCCAAAAGTGTTAACCAAATATTGACAAAAGAATGCAACACACTTTTAGGCTCTGGAGGGCCCATGAGTGCAGCGTTTAGACTAATATAAATGCAAAAATCTTCTCACTCGGTCGCTACGCTCCCTCGCATAACACCCTTCAAAATATAAAAGTAAATATTGTGGAAAATCTCCCGTTTCTTCCCTACCCCCTCCCCCACGGTCATGAAAAGACATCGCCGAACTTGTCTCTACCACCGCTATGAACATAATCAAACATTAGAAAGAGGTGTGGCAATCTCATACGATCCCTACTCATGGATAATAAAAACCGGTGAATTCGTAGGTTCCGTTTCCAATCATTAGCATCTCTCTGCGCTGATTGGTTCTATAAGCTTCTATGTTTTGGGAAGTTGGTCCCCCCCCCCCCCATCTCAGTCATTCGAAACGAATGATTCGCCTCTACCACCCCTATGTACATTATCGAAAATTATAAAGAGGTGTGGCATTAATCTCATACAATCCCTACTCATGGATAATAAAACCGGTGAATTCGTAGGATTTGTTTCCAATCATTAGCATCTCCCTGCGCTGATTGGTTCTGTAAGCTTCTATGTTTTGGGAAGTTGGTCCCCCCCCCCCCCCCCATCTCAGTCATCCGAGACGGTGGTGATACCAATGCCAACCCGGTGACATGCATCCAATCTTTGATTACATCCCTCAATGATGCCCGCCAAGTCAAACATATAACGTTTCTTTCTCAAGGCTAAACGTCTTCTAGTGTTTGCCTCCCCAGCCCGCCAACTCCTTAGACCTTAGCTATGCTCTGGGTACAGAAAGAAAAAGAGGTTGAGTGTGTCAGCGTGGCAGGGTTATATTATCATTCTTTAATTCGATGGATTCTGACAGAGCCGACAATCGTTTCGAAGCAGGTAGGAAACAGGTGATGGTAGACGAGACAAAAGTCCTCAAGGTTGCTTTAAAAAGAAACTCAATCAGTAATACAGCTTGCCATGTTTGTTAAACGAATGTGTCTTTCATGTGCTACCTGAGCGTGCCGAGGAGAGGAAACGAAGGCGAGCGAAGAAGCACTCCGAGAAGAAAGCAAGCCTTCAAGGAAATGCCGTTCAAGCATATAAGCTGCCTCTTAAGTGAGGTAGCGCTGTCTTCTCATTACTTGCAACCACTCTTGAAAGGAATTGACAGAGTGGCAATGAGCTCAATGTAATGATTTCGTAAAGAATGTGTACATTCTAACAGGTTCAAAGGATGCGGAATCAATCATTCGATACCTATACTCTATTAAACCTCGCGACGGGAGTTCCATTCATATTTATATTTGTCACCTCTGTGTTAGATTGAATACGGAGAATGTGATGGCCTTAACATATGAAATCATAATAAGGATATCAATAATCCATGTGACATTTTGACAAACAATAACATCACGAACAGGAGAATTATCGAAGCGCCAGGAGTGTCAAGTCTGACATATATGAGTGCTATACAAGAATCCACTATTATTATTATAATTATCCGTCTTGCGATAACATGCAGTTTGCTTAAAAAAATAAAGCGTCAATTAGTATTATTATTCTACGCATGGTCTTTTGCCACGACTAATACAAAGATATTTCGAAAAGGATCTAGACTATTTTAATTTGCTCCACACTTTTTTGAAATAAAGATTATAATCTTGTCAATTTGAATAAAACACATTCATTAAAGTGTTAATTTAACAAAGACAACAAAGTAATACAAGTGTTTATTATGTGCGTTGAAATATCCCTAAATATTTAACAATTGGAAAAATTAAAGGAATATCCAACGCTCAGTATGAAAATTAATTTACATAGTTGAAACTTTCATACTGAAAATTAAATGTTACAAAACTTACATAAAGACAACATGTCTAATTCCTTCTTGCGTAGTATTTTATTGTTTATCCTACCATTCATTTAACTCTTCCGTCGTAATTAGGGGAATATCTCATCGAATAAAGAGTAAAGTAGGATTTCGAGCACTTTGTGCTACCCTTAAAAAAATAGGATACCAAGTGCGATTCTTACCTCACCCGGGTTAATCAATAGAGGAGTATTTTGATCGTCACTCTTGCCGGCTGGGTTGGTCGATGCGCAACGATTCACTTACAGCACACCTGCGGCTTTTACCGATGAGCTAAGGTGTACAGTATCGTGACGAAAAAGAAAACAAAACCATCAGGTGGGGTAGAACCTCTAGCACTCGAGGCCAGTGAACTGGTCACATTGAAGGTAAACTTGCCTTCTGGGAGGCCGCGGGTAATTTGTATTTTGAGAGGTAGTAGAAATCATTCCGAACAATTCAGTGAATGAACTACGTTGGCAAGTAGCAAAGAATAGAATATACGAACATCGCTCTGAATAGCACAGAACTAAGATACACCCTTGTGGAACTACACGTTTTACTCATAGGCATTATGATCTTGATTGCTTTTTGTTTAATAATCTGTCTTTGCTCAGAACTCAGCTCGTAAATACTTTTGATAGATATCTTTTATTCACAACGATTTATAGCCCTTAAAACATCAATGGACACTGTGCAAGGCTGTGCAGGACTCATTCTCTTCTGACAATTCAAGAACTCTCGATGTCTCTTCAAAGCTCTAGTTTTCGTATTCGCTGGCAACGTTTTCAACCAAAAGAAGGCATAATTATTTCCTTTCAATCAAATTTCCTTTCAGTATTTGAGATGGAGTGACAAGAGACTGCCCAATAAGACATGCATAATTTGCTTGCAAATACCATTGCTAGATTTGTAAGCTACCGATCCACGATCTTTCTTTGATTCTGCTTGCATGGAGAGGCCATATGCCTACTAATAATATGAATGCATATATGTATGGCATTTCAATCATTCCATGGATCCAAACTCAAGGACAAATGGAGTTACTTATGAATTCATTGCATCTACCGCTCTCAGATAAAGCGAATGCATTTTGGTAGCTAAAAGTCTTTTCATTGAATACTTTTATATCCATCTTTCTTACGTTGCTTTTATTAGCCAAAAGTGTCTTTTCATTGCAAATCCTTTAAAAATATTTGTTAGTTACTCTTTCACAATAAATCACGCAAGGAATTTAGTGATAAAAATTGACTCATGTTGATTTTTACTCAAGCATATTTCGGAATATTGCAACATGCATAAGTTGTAAATCTCCATAACTTTATTTTTGTGACGGGCTGTCATTCTGGGAAAAACTCGACTGGATTATAACGGTACATTGAGCTGAAAATATCCTTGCGTTTATTAATAAAGTCGATTCAAAGAGGAATAGGGGAAAAGTCAAATTTACCCATCTCCACTGCACTTCACACTTGAAGTGGTGTGGAGCAAACCGGATAACCGTTAAATCACAATTTATCAACTCAAGGGGACAACAAATCCCGTGTACTTGGAGGAATCCTATATGAAACCTACTTCGACTATGTCACGATATACGCATTATCACTTCTTTTATTGCTTACAGAGTCTGCCAATTTCTAGCGAAAAGAAAGGCTTAATTAATAGAAGATTAATCATACACCAGGTAAAGAAAATAGTCTCCGCTTCGTCCAAAGTCCCTTTCGAATATCCGTGTTAGTTGGTATCGCCTGAGTACCTTAGAGTGCTCATAACGATATAACTCACGAACGATTACGTAAAACTGTGTTTCCATTTATAAAATAATTTATATTAATGTATGCCACACGAGAAAAATATATTTTTGGAACACAACACTTAACAGAAATTGCATTTCACCAGCATACCCTTCACCTCATGATGAATGACTCTTACTTATTATGAATATCTCGGACGTTCAATATAAGGTGCATCTGCTATTAATATAACTGCGCTACATAAACTAATTTGATTTGCACCATCAACGTTATTTTTCCATTCTAGACAGACAATTTAGGGCCTACTTTGGAATGTATATTCAGGAATAGCATGTCAGTATTACTTCATTGTTTAAATGGTTGAAATCATCATCAATACAAGTGTAAAGGATCATATCAATCAAACGAATAGTGTATTTCCCCTACTAGTAATGTGGTGTCGCTGTGGAGTCATTATGTACCTGCGGTAGTTCGGAAATATATATTTTTTTCTACCTTTCCTTGCGTGAGGAGTGTTATTTAATCATTCTGCGGCAAGTACAGAGTATACTTTTATAAACCACACTTTCAATAGACCTCACTGTGCACACTGATACGTATGTCATATTGTGACAAAAGAATTGATACAAGATATCACTTTTTAAACAATAAGACAATTACAAATGATGTCTTACATAAAAATTGGTCGTTTACAATAAATAACTCCACAAAATAATAATAATAATACATGAGATTTAAAAGGCGCCAAATCCACTTGACAGTCAAATGCTCAAGGCGCAGAAAAAGAGAATAGAAAATGAATCCATGTAAAGCAATATACTTCTTGCCAATGCACAATCCCCGTCTTCTGTAACTCACACGTATACGTTTACATAAAACATCTTTAGAGGTCAACGCAAATTTTACGCATCAATAATATCAAAGCTCGCTGATGTCGCTTGCAAACATGATAAATGTCTTGCGTGGTTTCCACCTCGCTGAACATTCTAACACGTATTTCTCTCCTCGCCACTTTAGTGAAAAGATTTTTCTCCTTAATTAGCCCTCAGAGATTGTAAAAAGCAAGACAGTCCACTGCTTTAACGTTCTCCTTGTCAAATTTCTTTTCTCGATAGAACTAATTGCGTACGTGAATGGGTGTGCAAAGTGTGCGTGCCCTTGTAAGCGTGTGTTTGTGTGTGATTTATACTATAAGAGAGAGGGTGAATCAAACCTGTCCGAAATACCGCCTCTCTATCAACAATAAAGAATTGTAAAACCTGTTTAGAAAGGTCACTAGTCTACAGTGGCCACTTTCTCTTTTTTCTGTCGATGGCCTCTATAGACAGGTTTATCTGTATAGTCATACGCCATAACGTATAAAGTAACGATTGTACCAATACAGCTTGATTTGGGAGTTCTTGTCATTTTCTCTTGGTACGTTTTCGAAAAATAATGTAACCAAATAATAAGTTTTCCTTTGTTATCGTATGAGGTTAATTAAACAAAGATCACAATCAATAAAGTATTTTCCAATTTTTTCGCAAATAAGCAATGATGTTAAGCTTGTACAGTGAAATTGAATTGACGCATTCGCCTGCGATGTTCTTTATTGTACAGGTTTCCATGCATGAATGTAGAGAGGGAGGGGAAAAAAAATCATTAAATCAATAAGTATGATTGCACGGGTAAAACTTTTAACATCCGCCTTGGTGATCAAAATAGCTTTCATCGGTGTATTTGACTCTGATATGCGTTAGAGATGTAATATTAAATTTTTCATTTCACATTTTGACATATTATATTACTAAAGGAGTAGAAACTGTTAGATAGAAACAATTGGGTACATTTCACGTAACCACATACGTTGTACTTTGGTCACTTCTGTGACTGTCAAGGAACAATGTAAGATGACATTTCAAGTGTATCGCTAATTGAATAAAAAATGATATAACCCAGGGCAAAATAAGTGTACATTATTGAGGTCTAGGCATATTTTCAAATGTACTGTTACTTGCGATGTGGCACTTGCATTGAATTAATAGCATTAATTGTCTACACCGGGTTATTAACGATGCAATCGGCATGATGAAACGGGCATTACAGTTACCATACATTTCAACCTGACGCTATGCTCAATATAATAATGTCAAGAAAGGAGTTAGTCAATTAAGCACTTTAGTCACATGCTATTCCAGTGATATTTTGTTTCTTTGATTTAATCCTCATACAAAATACTTGTTCAATACAATATCGGAAGGTTTGTTGGCATAGTAATTGGCAATTTACAAATACGCCATTTGTATTTAAATGTTCTAATGATGAAAATGAAATAATTTACGGTTGGTACTGGCAATCAAATATATTTTTATGTATGATTTCTTGCTCTTTTATGCAGACTGAGACGAGTGCGTTTGATTTTGCAAAATCGACAACATGTCCGTTGGATTCTCTCTTCATGCAACTGACACCCGAATGGCAACAGATGATTATGAAGGTAAACAGGTCAATAGTTTTTAATATATTCCACATACTAATAATCTTTCTCTACGATTGGTCAAAAGTATTCACGTGATGAAAGATAGTTCGCCCATCATTGATGGGAGAAGAAAAGTTCGTTACACTGTGTAGATAGTACTACTATTTTCAGTGAAAGTGCGTTGCACTGTGTAGATAGTAGTACTATCTACACAGTGCAACGCACTTTAGTTGTATACGTTGCATATACGTACGTACGTAAGTATCGTACACCGTTTTCTAGCTGTTAAATGATGACTTCTTACTCTAAAATGACGGAAGAATATTTTGAAGGAGGGAAATATTGTTGAATTGTTTTCCTTTACTACTGTATAAGCTTAATGAAATTAGAATTCCATGGAGAAAGTTGGTGAACATGTTCATGGATACCTCGGACAGAGTGTTCATCTTCAAGACCATGAATATGGGCAAATATTGATTAGTAATATAAAAAATAAACATATATTTTCGAAAATACCTTGCTCAGACATTCAAGGTCATGCACAATAATTAACAGCATTGTCTTGTAAATTATGTGCAAATTTGCATTTGGTCCACTTGACAAAATACAGAATTGTGGTTATTTGAAATTGGCTATGTTTGACCGGTTTAATACTTTTAGTTTCCATCTTTCAGAAAGTATACCTCACGATGCATGTTTAACTTAAACTAAATTGTAGAGATATATAAGAGTTGTATAAATCAAATAATATAGGTAAACCTGGTGAGTGAGAAGCCATTTAAATATAGATTGTTTTAATGTGCTTTTGATATATAGAAGCACTTAATAAATGCAAAAATAATTACAATATATTGACAAAATTGATACTATCCCCGGCAAATGGATACGTCAAACATTCTGAACCCAGGTGAGAACTAGGTTAATATGGTCAAAACAAAAACATGGATATTGTGCTTTCATTAACATAGCATTTCATAAAACCGTGACAACTTCGGTTTAGGTTGAGTAATGAAATGTTGAATTGAACCGTGAATGCAAACTACGCCTGTTCCATAAGCGAAAGACAAAGCAACATATGCTGTGACGTTTTACACGTGATTATTGACCTTTTCACGAGATCTCGACGCTTCCAGCGTTATACAATAATGTGCTCTTCTTTGAACAGGAAATCGAACTGATAAGAAACGTGACACACTTAGTATCCCGATTTATAGGAATTAACTCACCAAACATTGGATTTTCGAATTCGGGAAACTCAATTTCTATTTACGCTTCTCGTCCGTATTATGAGCATGCATCATTACAAATTCAATGGTCATCTTTTTTCCTTCTATCGTTCTAAAGAAAGTGTATCCACGCGCATGATCAGGATATGATTATAATTATTATAGTTTTGTTGACCGGTTTTCTTATTTTTGCTCCAGTCTTCTCCGGAATACAAAATAGCTATATATCACAAAAATCTGTCCTTATAAATTCTGATTCTACCCATCATCCGACGGAACCCAATACCTCCTTTATTATTCGGATATTAACGTACTACTACTACTACTACTACTACTACTTACTACTACTACCCTACTACTACTACTTCTTTTTCTACTACCACTAATAATAACAACACTACTAATATTATTAATGGTGGCTTCTTAGAGAGCGCACATGTCCGTCACGCACGTTTTGATAATAAATAGTTATTTCTTCTATCACTGACGCCCTTGAAGGGGGCCCTGGAACAATTGGGAGCACCGGTCTTACATGGAAAATGAATGTGGCTACTGATTAGGGGGAGATGCAGGAGGTTGTCCAGGCGTCTTTGTTTCTCTTCCTTTTCCCTCTCCCTTCCCTCGCTTTCTCTTTCTTTTTTTATTTTTCTACACACCGTTCGAGGGGGTGCCCCTGCCCCCCGTAGCTACGCCACTGTCGTTTATTGCCTACCGGCATAGGAAAATAACCCAATTGGAATGATTTAGAGGGTTTTGCTTGCGGACTCGTGGTCATGCGCGTCTAATGGCTGCCATGTCACATTGCAAATAGAATTGACAGAATCATGACCCGACCAAAAATTGGTCCAATAAATATCGGCAGGTGAATTATGTACGCCAGGGTGGGATCCATTTGTTAGTTATGCCCCTTTGATCGGAGATCCATCTGAAAGAAATTGTGGAAGATTACACGGTTTCCATCAATCAAAAATGAGGGGCTCGATGAGTATGAAAGGTGTTTACGTTTTCAGACATCGCTCTGAAGAGACAATGGTATGGACGCGATGAATGGTAAGAAATGGTCAAGCTAATATTGATGCACAATGCTCGCAATATTGAAGAGAAGAGACAAAAAAGTAACGCCTATTTTGATGAGTCTATGGGAATATCAAACGTTAGATTCAGATGTATTCGATCCTTGATTTAAATGCAATCTTGAGAAGTGTTGAAAAGAATCCCGTCTGAATAGAGTATCATGCTACGGAATTGAGATGTTCTGAATTCCCTTGCCCGTCGTGTTTACTTCGGTTAATTCTTTCAAACATTCTACTACATTAAGCATCGAAGCTCTATGCCATGCACACCCTCGCCCACTCTCTCACACCCACCCCCACATAAAACACATCCGTATACAGAAACACACGTAACAAAGGTCAATTTCAGTCAAGTCTCCATAGGCTTCTAATGATGGCCCTTTTATTCTTCTCATTTTATATGAATTCATTTAATGTACGTTGTATTTTACCTTCAAATGCTTTGTAAAGGTTTCAATGTTTTGCATGTTTTCAAACTGAAGAACGAATAGAGAATGAGCTTCTTGCTAAAAACAAAGAAATATATACGAAAATATAGTAAAGAAGAAGGCTCCAAAGAATCCAAGAGACCGAGGCCTAATGAGACCGAGAAAATAAAGACAATAAAAAATAAAAGATACGAAAGTGTTGGTTTTGTGGGCTGTCCGTAACGTCGGCCGGAGGTCTAGTAAACCCTCTGAATGAAAACAGAAAATAACGTATTTTCATATTTTATATTTGTGCGTGGGTTTATCAAGGTCTCCTCAAAGTCAAATACATTTTGTTAGTACTGATTAACTGATTAATATCTTAATGAATGGTGTTGAGGGCAAAGGATTTTTCTGTTTAAGTATAATGGAATCATATATCAATTTATCATTGATAGAAAACATATATTAATCATCATTGATAGAAAACATTCACTGATTAATCGACGGACATACTAATACATGTGCGTATAGTTAACGAAAGAGAATTGTATCATCTATAGTTAACATTATTCGAAAAAGTCTTTTCAGAGACGAATTCGGGGAACCTTTACTGTACTGGAACTACTTAACAGGATAAAGAGGCAATATAATTTGCCATGTTTCATTTTGTGAATGATTTATTAGACTCTTTTCTTCTTAAATTGAACATGGCGTCAACGAGATGCGAGGATTGCGATATATATGTAATACATTATCAGATATAAAGAATGTGATGTCTGTGTATTTTTTTTCTTCTAAAAATGAATGATGAATCTTTTATGAGGGAGCATTCTTTTATCCATGGTCAATCAAGTAAATTGATCTTTAACAATGGCAGTAACAGAAAGGTCGAGTAGATGCCTCATTTGCCTTTCACAAAAGCTTTAAACCTTCATGATTTATGTGTGGATCTCGTGAACTCAGAAAGTACGTCATGTTAAATCATGCAACGATAGAAACGGCACCCCCTTAGTTTTCATATTTATTACCAGATTTGCGTAACTCTGTTTCCACATTCCCTTTAATTGTGAGCTGTGAGTACTTTCACATTTCCAAGGCATTATTATTATTCTGTCGGTTACCTAGGAAACGCCCACAAATCGAGAAATGAATAGGTTTTAGATTCAAAGAACCACTATGTGAACTGTAGCGAACGCATTAAAATTATGGTAATTGTGATAATGGTTTGAGATCAGCCATATAACGGGAATATCGAAGTCTCCACACACAGCAGATATTATATATCTTATTTAAAGCATACTAGATTCACTGCTAGTTTTCTGCGACGTATTTATAAAAAGATGGTATCTCTTTTCAGTCTATTTTCTCATTGGTTATAGACCTCTGATTCAAAGAACTGGGTCACATGTTCAAAGAGATTTCGCAGACTTCTATCCTTTCCTCAACTTGTCAATTTGTTATAAAATAGTAATCCTGATCTTTAGACACATAAGTTTGATTCTGATCGAGATAAAGATATACACTGTATTTATCAAACATTCGTCTGACTATTGTAAATATGGAGATTGAGGATTATATCTATTCGAACCTCCTGGTAAATGTAAGCCATGAAACAGGATTACTTGGTGTGGTTGGCAGCAACAGATACGGGAAATAAGATAGAATAAAATTAATTTACTCGCGGTGTTGACCCTGTAGAAATAACATTTTGAGCCTACACCGCACCCTTACCAACCAAACAAACGAACAAACAAATAAACAAATAAACATAAATAAACAAAAACTAAAGAAAAATCACCCCCTTTATTGATTGTAGGATATTTCTAAGTTATACACCCGTTAGGCCACAAATTTATTGCTTAATTCCAAGTCAATCACAACTCAAATAAATGAATAAAAGTCGAGATGCAACCGAGCGCACCCGCGCACACACGCACACTTACTCACACAAATTCATCACTCACAATGTTCCACTCTTTCTTATATACATATATATGAATCGGGTAATCTCTACTTTTTCGCATCAAATGAAGCAGACAGAAAAGACCGTGGTCATGTTTCACTGCCAATTGATAAGTAGTAAATACCGTTTACTGTCAAAATTTCAACGCAAACTCGTTTGCTCGTCAGGGAGGTTATACAACAAAAGGATTTGTTGAATATAATGATTTTTACATACATTTTCGAACTCTTTTCCCCATGAGTAACGATGTCATAACGGTTCAAGACAGACGTCAAAATAATGATCGCACTCAAGTGTACAATATGACCGGAGAAAGAGACTGTTCGCACGAGATGGCGTACCTTAC